CCATAACCACCACAGCCAACCCACAAAAGGAGCAGCCTCCCAGACAGTCTGGCGTGAGGGGATCTGTCCTGTCCCTGCTCTTACTCTGGCACCTGCTAGAACCTGCTCCCTTGGGATTGCTGCTACCCCATGTCCCAATCCCCTCCCATCACTGCTTGGACACAAACAGTGCACACTCCTCAGGAGCTAGCTGGCTGCCAGAGCCATGAGTGGTCACCATCATGCCCCAGCTACCTGGAGTCATGGGCTGTCTCCCTGGCCCCTCCCTGGCTGGGGACCTCCCTTGCTTCTCACTGGGTGTGGCAGTGGGAAAGACAGCAGTAAAGTATTCTGTGAGTTAAAGATGACCAGAGACTCCTTGCCACTCCAAATCTGGGCTGCCCTTGCAACTTGCTTAATCCAACAGAATGGGGGAGAGTGAAGCCGTGCTGCGATCCAGTCAAGGCATGTCCTTGGAGCCTAGAATCACCAAGCAGGCAGGTCTGGCTACCTGCTGGTGAAATCACAGGCAGGGAGAGTGACGGCACCAGCCCTGCTGTCCCATATTCTCAGAGGCAGGCCCCAGGGCTGGGAGTGGCATCCTCCTGGCTCTCCAGTTCCATACAACTCCAGATGACACTAGGTGTCACTGCCAGAAGAACCGTCCATCTAAGCCCAGCTCAGGTTTCTTTAAGCAAATAAATGTTGTTGTAAGCCACTACTTTTAGGGTGAGTTGTTATGCAGAAATAGATACCTCCAACATCTGGGGATCACCAGTGTGTGTTCTCTAAGAGCCCACTCAATGACAGGATGCTCTTAGTTACATCTTCAGAACCAGGAAAGAAATCTCTGACCAACTTAAAGCAAGGCCATATTTATCAGATCCCTTCTGTCCCATCACATCATTTTGTTAGTAAATGTAATAGACAAAAAATGTTTGGAAGGGTCCTGTAATCCAGACCTCATTGGAAGCTTGGGGTTCCTCACTGCAAATCCACCTGCCAACCTGCTTCTGGAATGCCACTGGTTCTGAGCCTAGACCTGCCTTCCCGCGCCCCCTAAAGGCAACTGAATGCTCCCAAACCCACCTTGCAGCAGTGACAGGGCTCTAGGAGGATGGCTTCTGTTGAGGTATGACACTGGAAGGCACAGGGTTTGGATCTGGGGTGGCTGGGTTTGGGGTCCTGAGCAATATTTGGGCAATTCACTATGGCTCTGCATGCATTGCCCTTGCTGTCTTGACTAGGAAATGAAACTTAATAAAACAACTGACACTCCAGAGAGAGCATTAGGACAGAATCAGACCCACATACAAAGAGCATCCCATTTGACGGTGACTCCCTCCTGGACCTGTCACCAGGGGTTCCCGGAGGCCTTGTTTCCTCCAGCTCAATGGAAAGAGCAGCAGACCTAGGAATAGTCTGCTCAAAGACCATGGTTTTCAGTGGAGATGGTCCTGCCCCTGCTCCACCCCCCAGGGGCAACTTGGAACTCTCAGGGGATGTTTCTGATTATTGCATTGATTGGGAATAGTACCTGACAATTGGTAAGCAGAGAGGAGGGACGCTGGCCATCCAGCAATATGCAGGACAGTCCACAAATGAAGATCTATCCCACATGACTTGACTGACCTTCCTGATATTCGTGTGGGGGAAAAAAAAACTGTTCACGAGAGCCTGGGACCTAAGTCCATTTTACACACAAATGTAAGGTGTGTTTTTGCTCCATTTTAATACACACAAATGTAAAGGGTGTAAAAATCACAGGAAGAGTGTACTGTTTTATTCAAAACCTTATGGACAGTTGTGATGTTAGAATTCCCGTCGCTATGAGCAGGGCCACTCCTGGATGTTGCAGCATATCTGCATCAGCCCACACTTGGGCCTGACACATGTTTATCGAGTCCTCACATATGCATACATGTACTTATCTACCCTTTATCTCAAGTGTCACATGTAAAGGATTACTGCCTTCTCTGAAATTTTCTGAAATTGACGCTTATACACAAGAAGAGGTGCAATACTAAAATCTGTTTCATGGTGTTATAAATTACTTTCCTTTTATTTCTTCTTTGTAAATCACTAAATTGATTGGGGTTGGGAGTACAGGAAGCATATCTTATCTATGAATTTTATTTCAAGATAGAAATGGGATCGTTTTGAAATATTTTTGTGAGGGGGGGGTATTGAGTGGGACGGAGTTAAGAACTAGCTCTAAGGCCTTGCTGCTCCAAGGGCAGCCTCAGAGCAGAGCTGGTTAGAGATGCAGGATCACAGGCCTGCCTCAAGTACTAGATCGGAATCTGCATTTGAGCAGGTTCCTCAGTAAATGGTCTGCTCCTGAAGGTCTAGTGAGTGCTTCTTTAAGGGCCCAGCTAAAGGGGAACACCTGGACAAACTATGCACAGTCTTCGTCTTTGGCCCCAAGATGTACCTGGGAGGTACCTGGCTTCTAGGGCTACAAAGGGACAGGACCTGCCTTGCCAGGGCCATGGGAAGCCAGCTGAGCCTGCAATGGGAGAGGTGCACCAGACCAAAGCCACGCTCCCCAGGAGCTGCAGGAGCTGGGTAGAGCTGTTTGGGAAGAATCTGCGCAACCACCACATGGAAGGCTGAAAGACAGTTCTCTTGGCGAGGTCAGCCCCAGATGGCTGCGGTTTTCTTGCACAGAAACGTGAGAGGCTTGGGATGAGTCTGGTTCTGAGCCTCACCTCTGCCACCGCCTAGTTGCATGGTGTTCTCCTGCTCCTCAGCCATGCTCTCTGTGGAATGGGAGTGATGTGGCTGTCATTCAGATCACATGAGAACATTGAGAGCCAAGAGAGGTGCCTGGCCCCTGGTAGGTGCTCATACAAAGCTCTTGGCAGCCAAGTAGGGCTTTCAGATGCTGAGCACAGATGCACACAGGCCGTCTGGAGCCCACCCCAGTGAGGATGGGCAGCTGGGAACCCATTCTCTACAGGCTTTCTGTGAGGCCTGGGCTCCGTGTGCCCCAGCCTGCCCTTCTTGGCTTGGGAGGAGGATATCTCTGGACCTAACCATATTGCTTTGATGCCCTCACCTGCCCAGGGCCTAGCGGGGCCTGCAGCTGAAGTCAGGCTCTCTCATGCCCTGAGTCCGGGCAGAGGGGTCCTTAGGGCATAACTGGTTTAGAAACCGCTTGTATGGTCTCCCAACTCCACCGGTTGGGAGTAAAACACCAGAAAACAAGCCCATTTGTCCACCATTTGTTGAGCATCTGTCATGATTCCAATTCCAAGGGAATGAGTCTAGCGTGTGGTCCCTGCCTTACATGTCATCCTCTTGAAGGCAGGAAATGCCAACGCCCACGTGCAACATGTGCCACAAGCTCCTAAAACCAGCCAAGGGCTGAGAACAGAAAGAAAGCTTGGGTGCTGCGGATGGGGACTGCGGGGGAAGTGGCACGGAGAAGGCTCCCAGAAGTGGCTTTAGAAGACAGCACAGAGACACACACAGGCTGATGGGAAGGTCACGGGCTCCGGAGGAAAAAGACGTGGGTGACAGCCCTCACTCCAGCACCAGCCCCTGAGTGTGCTGGCATCCTCCGCTGTCCCTGAGGATCCCTAACCCCCCTCGTGCACCCTGCTGGGCCCAGGAGGCTGCCCTCTGCACCTTCCTGCCCCCCTGCCCCCTCAGTGGGAGATGCAAGTGGGGGGAAGAGAGGGGCTGAAGAATGCATGACCTCGGCTCCCCCTCTGCTGCCTCCTGGTCTGTCACTGGTGGGGCCCCTCTCCTGAGGCTCCTGTTGGTGACACCTCTGCCACAACTGCAGCCCTTGCACATTCCAGAAAGTTCTCCTCCCCTTGTCCCTTGAGGTCTAGGGTGAGAACAGCTTCCTGGGGGTGCTGGTCCCCAGACATGTCGCCTCCCTCCCTGGTTCCCTTAGCCTTACCCACATGTCTGGAGAGAGTCCCCTCTGTAAATGCTGCTCAGTTTCCCTGTTTTTCTTCAAGCCATGACAACCGAATTAACACTTCCCAGCTTTACGACCTTGAGCTAATAGTGATAATCATTATGTATCATTATAACCATATGTCGTCGTAAATACAGGACATTTACTGGGTGCCAAAATGTGTTAAGTGTCTTGAACACCTCTCTCTTTTTTTGTAACTCTGTCCTCACATGATCCTGTGAGACTGCAACTGTTTCCAGGTACTGGTGAGGAAGGCGAGGCAGAGAGGGGCAGCCAACCCGGGCAGCGGAGGCTCCAGGGCACCAGTCCTTCTGATTGCAGAGCTCAGCTGTACGCGGGGCAGCACTGGGAGCGGCAGCAGCCTGGCTGTTTTGGAAATTTTGAAGAAGGGACACAGGGAGGAGCTCCCAGAGGAAACACTCCAACAGGAGCTGCTGGACGTGTGGGATCGAGGCCCAGTGAGAGGCGGAGATTGGAGAGAAAGCAGCAGCACACACAGGGAGCCAAGAGGCAGGAGGACTTCGTCCCTGGGAAAGAAGCCTCAGGAGAGGCTGGGCTGAGGGCAGAAGCAGGGAAACAGGACACTAAGAAGACAGGAGATAGAAGGGTGGACAAGGAAGGAAGAGAGGGGGACACTTCCCGAGTCCTGTCTGCCTGCCGAGCAAACCCTCACCAGAACACTCCCTCTAAGGACGAAGGTGTCGATATGCCCTTTTGTAAAGGAGGAAACCCAAGTTCAGAATGGTTCAGGAACCTGGCCAAAACCTCGTCCAAAAACTCAGTCTGAAGTGGCAGAGCCAAAATGCAACCCCAGGATCATCTGACCCACAGCCGCAGGAGGGAACCTCAGAAACCGAGGCAGGAAGGGACTTGAGGAAAGGGGGGAATTAAACGACGTCTCTGCATGGTCACAGTTTACTTTAGTGGCATTTAAGGGGAACACGTCTCGCTCACTTTGCTCACCAGTCACAGGTGAATAGCCCCAGACTCAGTGTATTTTTCCACCAAGGGGACGCTTTGCCATCATCTTCCACCTATCTGGGCTGGGTTGTGCTCCCTCCTGACATGACTTTATCTGTTTTCTTACCTCTGGACTTCCTCTTGCTAAACACGGACTGGCAGACGATGACCAGCGTGAAGAGCAGGACGCTGAGGATCCCGACGCAGCACACGAGGACGGCGTACACATAGAGATCTGAAAGGCAAGGACACAGCAGGATCACCCTCATGGGGACGCATCAGGGGAAGTGCCTGGGCACAAAAACAGTCAAAGATGGAACTTTGAAAATCCCAGTACTACAGTAATCGAGGTAGTGTGGTATTGGTAGAGGGACAGACACAGATAATTGAAACAGGGAGCCCAGAAATAGACCCACCCAAGACGCTCAATTGATTTTGGCAAAAGCACAAGAGCAATTCAATGGCGGAAGGACAGCCTCTCCAATCAATGGTGTTGGAGCAAGTGGACTTCCACTGGCAAAAAATAACATTAAAATAAACCTCACACATTATACAACAATTAACTCAAAATGAACCACAAGCCTAAATGTGAAATGTAAACTAGAAGACTTTAAAAAAAAATAGGAGCAAACTTTGGGATTTAAGACTAGGCAAAGAGTTCTTAGGCCTTATACCAGAAGCACCACTCATTAAGTAAAATGTGATAAATTTGATTTTATCAAAATTAAAAACTTTTGCTCTGTAAACAACCATATGAAGAGAATTAAAAGTCAAGTTACAGACTGGAATAAAATATGTGTAAACCACATATGCAATAAAGGACTAGTATCTAGAATATAAAGAACACTCAAAACTCAGCAGTAAAAAATAAACAAACAATCCTATAAGAAAAATGAGCAAAACCCACAGACACATTTCACCAAAGAGAATAAACAGGTGGCAAATAAGCACCTAAGAAAACGTTCGACTTCCTGAGCCATTCGTTAAAGAAATGCAAAATGAAACCGTGGTGAGATGTCTCACACGCCTTTCAGACTGGCTAAAATAAAACACAGTGACAACGCCAAATGCTGGTGAGGATGGGTACACACCGGGTCACTCAGACAGGGCTGGTGGGAGCGTAAAGTGGCACAGCCACCCTGGAAAACAGTGTGCAGTTTCTTGAAAGACACACCTGTAACCACCATTCAACCTAGCAACTGCACTCCGGGCATTCGTCCCAGAGAAACAGCAACTTTAGCTCAGCAAAGACCTGTACATGGATGTTCATAGCAGATTTATTCAGGATAGCCCAGAACTAAAAACAAAGATGTCCTTCACTGGGTGAGTGTTTAAACAAAGTGTGGCACATGGTTGTCACTGCATACCCCAGCAATAGGAGGGGACCACTGCACTCCAAAGATCAACTTTATTACTGATCTGATCAATAAAATGCCAAAACCGTGCAGGAAGTTTTGAAAAGGGAAGCCAAAAGCATTATTTGAACCTTCTATGAAGAAAAATACTACAGATGTTTGTACTTAGCCAATGTGTGAACTTAACAAAAATTGTACGAACTTAACAAAAATGTTTCTCTGCTGCCTTAAATTTCTTCAGTCAACAGACATTTATTATCAGTCATGTTCAATACTCTTCCAGGCACAAGAAATATAAAGATAAACATACAAAGGTTTTCCCTTCAAGAAATCAGAGGGCCATGTGCTAACTGCAGCGGTAAGAGTGTGTGCTCAGTACCAGGAACGCACAGCGGGGCTTCCAAGACGCCTAGAGCCCTGCGCTACATTGTACTGAAAATAACACAAAACACAGAAATGCATAGAGAAAAAGTTATTGGCCATCCCGTTGCTTGAAATAACTGCTGCTAACGAGTGGTGCCCTATGATGTCTCTGCATATATTTTACAATTGGGCTCATACAATTTCACATCTTGCTCTTTGTCTCATTTTCTCAGTAGACTCTATTCAAAAATTGATTCTGAATCGTTTTGAAACATATGATAAAAATTTATCATATTAACGTATCATTACTGATGATTTAACAATCTCTTCCTGTTAGCTACTTAAAGTGTTTACCTGTTCCCCATAGTAAATAATTCTGTAATGAACATTCATAAACTTTAACCTTAATGCACATTATGTTCTTCAGATTGAGTTCCTAGAAGTGGAATTGCTGAGTGTGCGGGAATGCACCTCTGTAAGGCCCTTGGGACATGAGGAAGCAGTTAGTTAAGTGCTTAAACTGAAAAAGCACAGGGGCTGGGGTGGCGGGTGGCTGGATTCCCCGGGCAGCCTACAGAGGCAGGTCAGGCTTATGGCCACTGAGAGGGAAGGGGACTGGGATGGAATCAGACATTCACTTCCTTTTGACTCCCCCTCCCTGACCTGGGCCCTGGAGAGGCCCAGTGCCACCTCTGTCCCTGGAGTCCATGAGACCCTCCTGTGTTCTTAGGGTCAGTCAGTGTTTTTGCCTAAGCTAATTTGAGTAGGTTTCTGTTCCTGGCAACTTAGAAGTCTGGGCTAAAACTACAACAGGTAGAAAGTGCCACAGGACAAGGTTGCAGGTGAAAGGAGCATGTGCACTGATATTTAAGGGAGCAGGGCAGGCAGGCAGGAGGGAGGAAAGTCTCCTACAAAGGACCTAGAGCTAGTCATGGGAAAGAGAAGGACTGAAGAGAAAGTTCTAGAACCCAAGAGTGAAGAATTGTAAGCAAGATCCCTTAATAGCACCAAGTTCTGCTGGAAAACACTCACTGGGTTTTCCCACTAGGAAGCTACTGGGAAAGTCCTGGCGATAAGCCATTTCAGCAGGATGGTGGGGGCAGAAGCCGGATTAGAGAGGTCAAGGAGTCAACAGGATGCGAGAAGCCTAAGAAATAGAGAAAAGTCTCTCATATAACTGAAATCAAAACCGCCTTTCTGTGCAGGCCCCAGTGTCTGTGATGTGTGGGCTTTGTAGATGAATAGGGTAGAGAATTGTTTGTGCTCAGAGTTAGGGCAGAGGCTTGGGCCTCCATTTAAACCACATGAAACGCAGCCAGGGGCTCTTGGATTCTGTCCAAGACACTTCACAACACACAGAGGGACAGAGCAGAGTTCACAGACCGGGGTTCATGACAGGATACCAGGATACATAAGGGGCCAGAACACGGTGAGCACACGGCCAGTCCCGGATTCACATACCGTTGAGCAAACTACGCTGGGAACAGGACTGCAAGCCACTTCTGGCATGAGAGGGTAGGGACACTACATGGTCACGTTGCCATGAGACAGAACGTGGCACAGGTGGATGCAGCATCTGCCTTGAAGGGATTCAGAGATGTGGGCCTCTGGACCAAAAGCCAGGGCAACGAGGCTTCGGCCTCATTCTTGGAATGGAGAGAAAAACTGTCTTACTAAGGTTTCTGCGCCACAGGAGCAGAACAGCTGAGGCGAGTTCACCTCTTCACCTGACCTCTTTCCCTGGTTTGGGGACTGCGGGAACCAAAGAGGGACAAGGTTGCCAGTGAGAACTGTGGCAGGTGGTTCTCCCACAAGCTCCCCAGCAGCAGACGGTGGACATCGGGGCCTGCTCTGCCCTGGCAGGAGGCGAGGGGCTTCAGCAGGTTGGAGCTATGGCTTCAGATCACATGGCACAGACGGTGCTCTCCCTGGGCAGCAGGGCTACGGAATCACAAAACATCTGGCCAGTCCAGAAAGCTCAGCCACACTGGGCTGAGGACACCAGCCAGAAGCACCACACGTGGGTGGGTCTCCACACACACACAGGAACAGTCGTGGCTGCTCTCTGTTGTGCTCTTGAAGCTACAGGAAGCTTAAAAAGTGTCGCCTTACAGGAGAAGAAAATCTCAGAAAGAATACTTGATGGGCAGCCATCTGTACCCAAAGTTCTGGTTTTCCCTCCTGTCCCAACCATTTCTGCTGCTGTATAAAGACAACCATCCTGCTGATCTACTCAAAGCACCGAAAACACCTCCCCAGTGCTCTCTGCAAACAAGGGTTAAACTCTGAGCCCTTGAAGCCAGGGTCACAAACTCCTAAGACTCCACGTATTTGCGAGTCAGCTGGTGAAAAGCTGTGCCATGCCTCTGCTCCAGGGGATGTCCTCAGCTAGAATGCCAGTCTCACATTGCTGCATCTTCCGGCTTGTCCTTTAACATTTTATGTAAAAATCTAATTATACACGTTGGCTCAAAAGTTGTAAAACTCAGACCAGGCCAAACAACAGTTGTTGGAAGGCTAAAGCTATAAACCTTCAAGCCCATATTTAACAAAACTTTTGCACTTAACCAAATCTAGAATTAGCTTTTAAAATATCACATATACACACCAGAAATAATTCTTAAAATCATGTTACATTCTCTGAAAGCATTTGCAGTGTTATCTTTTGCCATTGTGCTTCCAAAGGCACTGTTGCCACTTTGAGACTAAACTGCAAGCTGCCATGCAGAAGACCTTCAGGCCTCCATGCAGCAGACGGCGGGCTGTGGGCTGGAGTGGCCACACACGCCCAGTGAGGCCGAGGCAGGGTGCACGCACGACCACAGAGCGCCACACCCCCTCACAGACAGCCCAGCCAAGTCAGGGAGAGGCAGAGGTACCTGTTGCCCAGCAACTCTGATCCCAGCAGGGGTATTCAGCACTGCTTTGAAACACGGTGGCCCCAGAATTCCTCAGCACAGTCAAGGAATCCCACTCTCTCTCCCACGACCAAGTCAAGAAAGTCAATGTCAGTATTCTACATTTCCAGAGCAAATGCAAAAGCCTGGGAGATCACAGTTCTGGAGATAAAACTGTACTTCTACTATTTTTTATTGCAGCCTGTAATACCATCTTGCTCCAGGTGAAATACCTGAGTGATAGCCCCGAGGGATTTTAGCTCGCTCTAGCATCTCACCAAGAGTTCTGACAATCAATGCCTTTTTTGTGCAGCAGGCACAGAGCCAGGCTGATCTGAGCCCCTGGAGGATGGATATCCATCTGCAACCCCTACTATAGCTCTCCCGGCCAGGAACAAAAGGGCAAAACGCCTGGGATTGTGCTCCCAGGAGTTTCAACTGAACCCCTGACCTTGCCCAAGCTGTAGCTGGGTTAAAAAAGCCGAACACCCGGATGCTGCTGCTGCTGCTGCCTCTGCCGAAATCATAGAGAAAGAACACTTTGGAAACAGCTGCTCTGAGGCACACATCATACACAGAGAGAAATCCAGTTCTGCCTTTTTGAAGGGAACTGATTCTGTTGAGAAGAGAGCACATGTTGGGCTACAGATTTCTTGTAGAGTTAGGTCAAGAGCCACCCCGACATTCTATAGCTACACACGAATTATAAAATATATGCTTTAGAGGTGTTGATTATGCTGCCAGGTGTGTTGGGATTAAATGTTACAATCCTTCCAAACATATAAAGTTTTATTTTTTGTACCATGGTATTTTCAAAATACGGTCTTCAGACCACTTGAATCGGAACTACCTCGGGCTCTGAGAAAGTGCAAATTCTTTGATCCCTTCCCAAAGTCATAATCAGAATCTCAGCAGGGGAGCCCAGAGTCTGCCCAGGATATTCTTATGCATCTGATGATGAACTTCGCTTGGCTGTCACATCCCCAGGGACCTACCTTATGAACCCCTAGGCCTTCTCCATAATCCTCACCCTATCACGGTGCCCAGTCATAGGGCGGCTCCAAAAAGATAGGGCAAAAATCAGGGTTGCCTGAATTTTATGAAATAGCAAGAAGAGGGGTAAATCTTGCTTTTTCTACTGTTCTACTCAATGGGAAGCAAAGTCACTTTCGACTCTACGCCAGTGAATAGGTATTCCCTGAGTGAGAGGCCCAGGGAGAGAAAGGGGGGTTATTTTGCTGAGAGAAGGTCATCAAATAAGAAAAAGGCAGCTACAAAAAGTGCAGAAGGAAAGTCAGCAATACAAAGAATCATTGTTGGAGTAAAGTACAATCTCATAAATGAAACACTTGTGACTACAAAACTAAACAATAAATCCTAGTGGCCTATGTGGGTGACACCTTACGGTTTGCAAATGATGTTCATAATTAAAGTTACATTTTTCTAAGAGAAAATGTGCTCAACCCACTGCATTATAACTAGTTATTGGAAGAAGTAGGTTTGAATCCATGTGCTCCCCTCCTAAGGCCAGCTTTCTTTCCACCTCACCACCCACTGGGTCTACAAAGGGCAATGTGAGGCCCCAAGGCACGCGCATCTCCTGAGATCCTTCTGGCTAGATGATTCATCATCAGTAAATGCCGTGCCTTCAGAGGACGTACTCTTTCCAAAGTCCCTGACCACCTCTGAACATTAGCCAGTCCTTCCCTGATCAAAGGCGCTGCCTGAGAACTCCAAAGCATGTTTTTCCATTGCTATGGTCATGATCCTCAACCACTTTGTAATAATTTCTCTGAACTTTCCTTACTACATGGCAGGGTTTTTCAACCTCAGCACTCTTGACATTTGGGGTCAAAATTCTTCATTGTTGGAACTGCGCTGTGCATTGTAGGATGTTCGGCATCATCTCCAGCTCCACTAGATGCCAGTAGCACCCCCACAGTTGTGGTACCCAAAAAAGTACCCAGACATTTTCTAATGTCCCCTGGAGGGCCAAAAATCACCCCTGCCCTAAGGTTCAAACCTGAGTACATATCAGAATCACCTGGAGGTCTTGTTAAAATCCAGATTATTCGGAGGTCTTGTTAAAGTCCAGATTATAGGCTTCACCATTAGAGTTCTTGATTCTGGAAGCTGGGGATGGGCCCAACAATGTGCATTTGTAGTATGATCCCAGGTGACACTGATGCTGCTGGTTTGAGACCACGCTTTGGGAATCACTGATCTAAGGCCATGGTTTTCAGCCTGGCTGCACGCTGGAATCACCTAGAAACTTTTAATAAGTTCCAACCAAATCAGAGTCTCCAGAGATGTTGTCCAGGCTTCAGTGTTTTTAAAGCTCCCCCAGCGATTCTAACATGGATTGAAAATCACTTGCTTAAGGTTTTCAGTTTCTAGAACTCTAAACTCCTTAAAAAATTTGAAATAAAATGTAGTCACAGTAGATGTACTTTACACTTTTATATCACTTGAAGATCCCTCCCTAATATCACCTAGCAGTAGGAATTTTGGAGCAAAACAAAACAAAGAAAGATTATGCGGATTGGTGCTGTAACCTCCACTCTTTCAAAACCCATGGGCTGATATCATCAGGAATTCCCATCTTAGCAAGTTTAGGCCAAGAAAACAACTTGATGTTATTGCAAAACAAATAAGTTAGGGTCCTTTCTTCCTATTCTACTCCTTTCCCGTTGTCTAAAAGTGAGGCTGCACCTTAAATAAACAAATATGCAAGCTTTACCTTCAAAAAAAGCCCAGGTCTCTTTCTTTTTCTCAAAGGATGAATCTTCAGAAGCTTTGAGGGAAATCACTGTAAGACAAAAACAAAACAACACAGCATGAAGTACAATAGCTTATAGTCCTGGCTCATATTTTAACCCAAAATAATGCTATATGGTATATATGGCACTTAGATTTATAAAGTCATTTTCACCTGTGCAAAACCATGCTTAATTGTCATAACTCACATGTGAGGGAGAGGTGCAGTGACTTACACCTCCCAGCTGAGAAACCCGGGCACAGGAGAGACAAAGTTGCCCATATTTCAAAACCAATAAATGGCTAAGCCAGAACTCAGTTCCATAAAAGCCCCACCTGCCCCATATACTTGCAAAATACAGAGTTCCCCAATGGGAAGTCCAAGAAGCAAAACATTATTTTACCATCTTAGTGTGAAGTCTTTCTAAAACACAGTGTGCTTGCTCAAGTATTCATAGATAAAGGAGCCTAAAGTCATAGATGACTCATGGTCAGTGCTCTGTGCCCCATTCTTCTCCATGCAAGACAATCCTACAGAGCAGCAGGCATCTGATGCTGAGATTATTGTGTTTACTTTAAGTTAGTGGTTGATCACTGAATTTACTATGCCTACTTTCAATAGGCAGGGAAACAGAATTAGGTTCACCATGTAAAAACTTTGAACATCACTCTAAGGAGTCTGGAACTATAAAAAGTTTCCATGCATAGGGGTAATATCATCACAGGTAAAAATCTAAAAGTTTAAAACATAAAATGACAAAAAATGTAAAATACTAGGGAATGAAATTCTTGTCCAATAGAACTTTCTAAGATAATGGAAATATTCTATATCTGCACTGTCCAGAACAGCAGCCACTGGCCACATGTGGCTATTGAGCACTTGAAATGTGGCTAGTGTGACCATAAAACTGAATTTGTAATTTTATTTAATCTTAATTAATTTAAATTTAAATAACCACATGTGGTCAGTGGCTACCACATTGATGAGCTCTAGAGAAGAGAATCTAAGACCCAAATAAAAAACAAAGGTAGTTGAAATGAAGATTCAGTCCATATGAGAGGCAAGGAATATGGCAAAGATGACCTAGAATTTTAATTCAATTTACTGTCCTGTCCACAAACTTTTGTGTTATTATTGTCATGGATTTCAATTTTCAATTTTTCATCCTTTTGTCTCTCTGGGACTTGCACTTTATATTTTCTATTGACCTATCTTCCAGATCACGAATCTTCTCTTCATCTGTGTCTAACCTGATGTAAAATCCCTCTATTAAGGTCTTAATTTCATTTATTGTATATTTCAGTTCTGAATTATCCATTTAATTCTTATTTATATAATCCAGTTCTCTAATGAATTTCTCCAGGTTGTCATCTAATTTCTTGACCACCTTAATTATATTTTTTAATTTCTATGCCTGATAACTTTCCTATCTACATCACTCATAGACTTGTTTCTATTATCTATTTTTGCTTTGATCTTGTCCCTTGGTATGTCTGATAATTTTTTCTAACCGAATACCAGACATTGTATGTGGGAGAAATCATGGAGGCTCTGGATAAAATTGTAATTTCTTTTTTTTTTTTTTTTTTTTTTTTTTTTTTTTTTTTTTCCGTT